TCACAGTCATTAAAAGTAGCGAAAGATGAAAATAACGCTATTTCAAAATTTACTTTAATATTAGAAACAGGTGAAATATTACACTAGAAAATAATGTTGTTATTGTTCTTTATTTAATCTCGAACAATAATTCCAGTTATGGACATTTTACATTGAATTTGCATTCATTCACATCTACATATATGGTGGCACTCAGTCGACATGAGATATAATCAAGTTCCTTTATTCCCCAATAGATGGGAGGACCGGCCAGCTTTGATATATGACAATATTTTTTTTAATTTGGTAAAAATAGGTAGATGTTAGTATTTTTAACCTAAGCATCATCTTATTGATAAATGAGCTAAACGGACAGGTTACAGACTCTTTGTTCAGATATGGTCATCATAATTATGAATTGTTGAGGAAAAGCATTTTGCAACTTACGTAATATTCAGTTTATTCTGGGATAAATCATCCCGAAATACTTAATCCTAAATAATACTCTTCCGATTAAATTTCATGAACTTCAGTTAACTTTGACTCAAAATTTTAAGAAGTTTTATTTTACTTATTTTTAAGCTGTTGTTGTTGTAAAGTTTGAATAATAAAAAAATGTGCACTATCTGATTGCAAGTTCCCTGAATTACATTCTTAGAACATCTCTATTATTTAGTTATCAAAATCAGATAAACTGAAGGTGATTAAAAACGCTCAGGTTGATTCATATAACACATTACAAAAACAAGAAACTCAGTACAAAGTAAAGACGTATTGTATTTGAAGAACTTACTTATAACGAAAAAAGTAGTTTTTATCTTTACACACACATATGCATATACACTTGGTAATCATTTTGTTTTGAAAAGCCTCTTCTGAGAGCTTCTTTCCACACTTCTTCAGTTTACAGCTAACTTGGTATCGCTAGACAAAACCACATTTATTGATTTTATGTTCACTACAGCAAGTATTCCAGTTAATTTTTCTATACTTTCTGGGATTAATTCAAATTCATTCTTTTTATAATATCAATCTTTGTTCTGATGGCTTGTTACATATGAATCATATTTGAAGCAGTCCACGGTTAGACAATTTGAAATTACATTATAAAGCTTAAATATACGTGTATCTTTAATGTTACAAAAGTATACAATGATTGAGAAGCGGCAAAATAAATATTGCTACGCTACAGATGTAATAAATATAGATTTTAAAACAATATCAAGTAAAAAAGTTGAAAAATGAATTGGGAAGTCGTGGATCTCTGTGATATTATTTCTTCTAGACAGCAATAAGCAAAGGGATATCTAAGGGATGTTTGTTTGTGTAATGTATGACATCTGTACACCTCAATGTAGGTGCAGCAAGTATACAATGCTGAAAACAGAACAACTAGATTTATATCACTTATTAAAACAAATAATGTCTGTTTATTCTTTTAGGGCATGAAGTCCTGCCCCAAATTTTAGCGTTGTATGTCCGTAGACTTATCGCTGTCCTACCAGCGGACAACAAATATTGCAAGAAATAAAATTGAAAAACAGAAATGTATTCACTCTAAGATGATATCTATAGAATGAATCCTTAAAGCTTTTGCGACAATGCGTTGTGTATTCAAAAATCGTGTTGTTGTTGTTGTTTTAATTAAACGATAAAATACCGAGTATCAATAAAGAAATATCCTAACTCCTATACTAGGAGACTCTATCCATTTGCAATAGAAGTTAGTCAAACTTAATTTAGAGAAATCTATAATACAATCGGAAGAACAGTATTCTAACAATCGCTCTGAATACTACTTAATTACAATTAGGACATTCTTTTCCTTACAGACGTGAAAGCTGGTAATAAAAAGGATAAACAGTAAAATACTTAGAGCTTTTATAGTTTTGCAACAAATCACGGAAATCCAAATTTTAACATTGAAAAGGGTATTACACAAAATGTGCCTCGTATCAACTTCAAAGGCTGATTAAACAAACGAAAATCCAACCGAACTCACAGCATTGTTACGTATGTAACATGTCGTTTTGGACATTCGACGTTTGAAGTGGAAATGTAGTTACAGAGCACTAAAGTAAGTTGCTGCAGGAAAACGAATGAGGTAAAAATGTTAATATAGTGTTTGTCAACAAGTAGTGTGTTCCAAGTATAATAGCATTCTAAAAAATAAATATTATTCATTCAATCTTTGAGAGCAAATTGTTCAAATCAGATGTTCGAAATTTATTATGCTCATTTGTTCTGCTGTAAAAATCGTTAAAAACACAGTTTAAAGACTATATAATATATCACGAATATACATAGTGGACAATGTTGTAGCAATCACAAAAACAGAATTTTTATTTACCTGATTTTTACTGAGTGTCGTTCATGATTAATACCTTATTATAACTAAGACTATTGGTATATTTAAACAAGTGTGGGCATCCAAGTAAAAAATAAATAAATAATTTAAAACGCTTGTTTGTTCTTAACTTGTTGCCAAACAAGTACGCATTTATCAACATCGAATGGGCTTTTCGTATTCCAAAAATGTAAATCATGATAAGAAAGCGTTTAGTGTATTAGCGTATACTATCTACACGAATTTCTTTTTTCATCTATCCGTCTTATTGGTACAAAAACGTCAGTATAACTTGATGCTATACCACAGTGCGCTTAAGTTATATAGAGTACATCTATGAGGTCGATTTGGATTATAACTTCTCTTTTTTTATTACTACTAGAAAAACTTTAAGTAACTGTTTCCGTTTCTTTATTTAATTTTTACGTGACAAACATACGAACACACTAAGTTGTGGTATATTCAGAAAAAATTGAGTTAACCTTCGAGTAATGGGATGGGTTACTTAATAATTGGAGGTTCTGAAAAATAATTATTTACGAAAGACTAGTGAATTTCTGAGTACATGAAATAAATAGACTGGAAACCATGAAAATAAAAGCAAACAACAGTGGTAGATTCAAATGAACTGAATATTCATTTGAGCAATCGGACAGATCTGCCAAATAACTGTAGATTTCACCAGGATATCGATTACAGAGTATTACTAAAACTCTTACTTAACTGAATCGATGCTAAACCAGGAACAAGCGAAAACAAAATGAATAATCTTTATTTAACTGTACAAACACAGAGTGTGCTTGCATTGTACAACAAGCATTGGTTCATTGCTTTTACTGGATGCTTTCTGAGGTCAAGATTATCAGCCATACTCTCTTCAGTGATGTTTCACGTAAAATTTCTAAATCAAAAGTTTCTTAGTGTCGAAGAAACCTCACATTTATCCAGAGTAAAATGCACTATCATGTAACTGGTCATTTTTATTACACATAGGTGGGACTATAACCTCTAGATATCATCTGAACAACCTTTGAGCGACATTGCTGTCAATTACACAAGGCCACTTTAAGAAATGTTCACCATGAGTGGTAACAAATATTATCTACTTCGAGAATAACAAAGGAAGAAAGTTAACTTGGAATAAAATCATTTAATGATTTTCTTTACCTCGTGTTATGTGAAACCTGCACATATTAAGAACAAAGAATAAATTCAGAACACTTTTAGAAAAGAGAAACATATGGTATATTCAAATTTCACACAATCTTTATTTGTTCACAATCACAAACACAGTGTTTGTATTTGCTTTTACGGACACAAAACTGTCCTTTCTACTTCAACTTATCAGGCGAAAGTCGTCCACTAGGCTAATGAAATTTTGTGATCTTTCTATCGTAGTTAACATTGGATTTACCTAGAGCAACGAACGTTATTTACGTGACTGGTCATTCTTATTCAAGCGTAGCGGCTGCCGTAACCTCAAGATGCCACCTAAAGTTCTAAACTACGTTTAAAGGACAAAGGTGTCTGTAATCTTGTATAACGCGCAAAATTACAGCCATGCCTGTCACGAACAGAACAGGTGTGACCTGAATAGAATGACATGAAACAAAGCTAAATAGAACGACATCAACTTATAAACTCTCTTCTTGACTATGTGTAATGGGAAAAGTACCCATATAAAGAAATAAACGATAAATTCAGAATAACAATATATTAAAAACAAAAGGTAGAAATGCACGGTATATTTGTATAGCACATAAGCTTCATTTAAAAAAAAAGAAAAAAGAATGAAATACATATTACAAATATTAGTACAATCCACCGATGTAATTGGATTAGATATGTAGATATATGATACCAGTTAAATTAGGCTTGGAATAACTAGTGTTATTAAAGAGATATCAATATGTGTGTATCGAAGCTATATTTCAGAACAGCAGTGGCAGCTTAATGAAAATAGACAAAATGTTAATGATTCTTCTACGGATTGTATAGAACGTTCGTACGCATACCTTTAGCCCTTGAATATGTTATCAACTTCAGTTTCAAGCACTTAGTGTTGGAATAGGACAGATATATTTACCTTCGGCCTTAACCATACATATCCCTAATAGTAAATTGACAAACAACGATTTATAAGTCGAGCATAATGTGTTTCCATACACATTCATACATACCATTGAAACTCCAGGCATTGTGTTTTAGTGTGATTTTATAGTAATATTGTTTTGGAACGACTTTCTCTCACAGAAAATATTAGATTAATTTCTTACTTTCAGTAATGTCACATGTATTTATGGATTACTAAATTTATTTGTAAATTTCTTATTTTCTCTAGTAGAGTTATACATTTCACTTGATATTCTATTTGATTACTTCACATCCAGTACAGTTGAATACACTGTAAATATTATAAAATTACAAGTAATTTGGCATCATGAGCAATATCTGCTAAAGAGCATAATAACATTTGGAGACGGCTTGAATGGATCGTGAAATAAACTTTATTACAAGTAACAAATATACAGCATTTCGTTGTAGTAATGTTTTTTGTTTTTTATAATAAAATATATTTCACTAACCGTTCAAGCATTCTCCAAACTTTATTTTCTAAAAGTAAAAGTGGTTTCCTACTTCCTCGTCATCAAATATACCAAAGAGGGCGAATCTACCTAAGGATAGTCAGAGCCATCTGTACGGTACCGCTTGGTTTTGAGGCTTATCAAACTGCTTTTAACGGAGACTGTATGAAAATGTGCAAATTATGAGCTCTATAAATTAAAGGTAAGAGTAATGTGTTTAATTTTTACCTATTCTTTCAATTAGATCTAGAGATCTTATTACATGTTGACTGTACCTTTTCATTTATCTCTGTTTTATAACTTAAACTTTAAAGTGTGGAGGTTGAACACTGATACTGATATATGATTTATTACTAATATTAGTATTACTATTACATCATGCAAATTACGATGATACAGTGATAGTAATGGTATCCATATAACTTACACATCGAAAATTCTCTTGATAAAACCTTTAATAGAAATTATGAATTCAATGTCATCTTGAGTTGTGAAAACAGAAAAGTGCTTAGTAATTACTAATAGTATGTTTTAATACTTTTAAGTTGGTTTACCTAACGATTTAGAATAATTTTAGCTGTTTTTATCAAAAGAGGAGAATATGATGCTCAGAAGTCAGAAATTGAGTGTTTTTCTTAATCTTTACGACTTTATTCAGTGTCATGTTACCATTTTTGTTGACAGCTTATGATCTGACATTTATTTCAGTAGTTTATATTGCTTATAAATTATACTCGTAGCTTTTGAAGATGATATATAAGTAATAACCAAGTATGTTATTATTAATCAAAATAAAAATGCTATGCATTTTCATAATTTTAAGATTACATGACTTATAACTATAAATTATAAGTTATAATGTACAAGTCCTAACATGAAAGATAAATCTAACTTTTAGACTGTTAGTGTTACTATAAAGTTTTTCATTTTTACAATATTTTGTAATACTAATAAACGGATTTCTTAACAGTTTAGAAAATTGTTAAAATAAGGTCAGGAATATCTGCGAACTTAATCAAATACACTTGTTTCTTATAAAACATGCATATATGAATAAACATAGAAAGTAGTTGAAAGTTCCAGCTTTAATTAATTAGTTTCACCATATAATCTTTATCCATTAATCTCTTTAAACACTAATCTTTGAACCATTCCACGTTATGTTTTTCAAATGAGCTAAGTGTTTGTAGTGGTTAATGTGCTGGATTGTGGATCTGAGGTTTGCTGGTTTGGCTACTGTTACCTCAAAAAAAAATCTTGCTCTGTATTGTGGGGCCTTGTATTCATTATAAAAGTGGAGGTCAAGTACCACTATTCAGTCTGACAAACATACCCAAGAGTTGGCAGTTGATGATGTTGACTAACTCCCATCTATCTAGTTTATCTCAGCAAAATTAGGGGCAGCTAGAGCAAATAACCTTCAACTAGCTTTGCACAAAATACAATAAACATATTGTAACCCTTCTATACCTACTTTTATAACTAATATTTAAAACATGAGTTTTAATTATCATAAACATCCTTTAATTCTGTAGCTGTTGTTTTGATCTTCAGTAGCAAATTATGTGATACTGAATGGAACATGGTTATTTTGAGACCTATCTATCAGTTTTAATGTTATAAATAATGTTGGATAATCTATACTTTCTTTTGAAAAGAAAAAGTTAATAGACACACACTTGAGAATAGAATATTACCATTGCAAAAACGTTAATATGTTATATTTTAACTAATAAAAAAGTGGTTTTTATGGCATAACAATGTTATATAGATCACTCCTTTTCTTGGAGTCAAGATTAAACCTTGTAGTTCTTAAACATCAAGCCTGCATATGTTCTGTCACTGAGTTAAAGGGTTAATTTACTAGTGTAGTCACTAGTAAATACTTTTTTGACAACTGAAACTACTGAAATTGTCAATAAAATTTAAATTATCTTGTAAGCTTTAGGCCAAACTTTGTTATTAAATGATCAGCTGGTATCATGTTTTAACAGAACAAAAGATGTATAGCACACAGTTTGTAGGTTATTATCATATTGGTTTTTGGAGGCCTATGTACAAACTTGGATAAATGGTGAATGAGAAATTTCTTTTATACATGTAGTCTACTTAACTGTAACACTATAGCATTATTAAAAAGCTTTATTTTGAATGCTTTAATTTAGATGTTAGCTAGAGGGCAGTTATCATTAAGATCACTAATTTCCCATACTTGGTAGAATTAAGTATAATTACAATTAGTTAATGATTGAGAGAAGATTAAGTTATTCAGTTAGGCTTCTATAAGCTAATTAGTAAGATAGCATATCTTACTAATGTATGATACTTGTTTCAGGTTGTAGATTTAAATAAGTAAGAAATTATAAGGATATATTTGTTAAACTTACTGAAGTACTAATTTCAAAATTGAAAGAAAATAACTGATATATTGTTGATGTTTTTAATTTTGTGTTTAAGTTAATTTGTAGCCCAGTTAGTCTTTTTTTTTATTCCCTCTCCATATTGTTGGAAAAAAGTAATCTTACTGTCGGATGATTTCTTTTTAATTATCCAGTAAAATAACACAAATTCTAGTCAGCTTGTTTGCAATAAGATTTTTTTATAACATTCTACAGGCCAAATTTACATATAAATTTAATAGTCACTTGTTACATTTCCTCTCATCTTCTACAGCACTGAACTGACTAGCTAACTCACTTATTCACTAGCTGACTCATTAATTCCCTTGTGTTTATATATATCATAATATTTGTTTTCCCAAAATCTCTTGAAAATTCATGATGTTACATTAAATCTAGACACTTAGGAAATTTTTGATTTCCACTAGTGTTAATTTAGTCAGCTTTTTTTAAAATTAATTATAGCCTTGGTTATCTTTATGAAAATCAATAGAATTTTAGTCTACTTTTAGTCATTTTATTTATTATAGTCTTAGTCTTCTGGATTAAAATTTGTCTAAAGATTTAGTCAACTCCTAAGTTATTGAAATCAGTCACTTAGTCTAGCCAAGATATAGCATTACATAAGCCTTTGGATAACTTTTTTGTGGTAAAAATTTAAAAAGAAATGTTTTTCATACATTGTTAAAATTCTTTATATAACAGTAATTTTTGATGATATTTTATAATAATAGAAAAACACCAAATTTTTGTTGATTTATTTCTTTTTGTCATTATTAAAATTAAAAACATTTTTGATCAAAATTAAACTAAGTATATAAGTAATACTAAAGTAACTTATAAATTTACAAGGTAATTAAAAATTATTAATTTAAAAAGAGGAATAGGGATCATTAAGAAAGTTCAGAAACAAATTGAATCAAAATGCAAAGATTATATTTTCAAGCCTACAACTAGGGATTCTAAAAAAGTAAACAAACTAGGTTGGAAATAGTGTCTGCATTATTTTCTTAAGCTACAACTCCCTATTTTGACTCCACTAAAATTGATAAGTACTGTAAACATGGAGTCAAAATAGGGATTTCCAACTTGAGAAAATAATGTACACTATTTCCAACCTAATTTTACTTTTTTTCAGAGTCCCTAGTTGTAGGCTTTCTGTACTTTTTTTGATGATCCCTATTCTCCTTTTTTAAATAAACAGTTTTTAATTATCTTGTTTCTTAAGTTTTTTTCTGTCCATTTATGGAGAATAAATTGTAAGCTACATATGTTCATATGCATTCAGTTGAATGTTACATATTTTTCAACAGTTTACTGAGCCACGTGGTTTTGTGTCCGAGGTTTTGTGTTTAGCAAGCATCTATTAAGAAGGAAGCTCCTCACAACAACATTGCATATATTATATATTTATTGTCCTGTGAATCAACTTTCAATGAAAAATAATCAACTTTTTAAATAGGTCATGGATGATTCATGTAGTATATCTGTCTGGGTTTAAATACAAAATACCCAGCTGATTTTGCTGTAGGCTTGTGAAACAGAAATAATAATGAAAATAATACAATATGCACTCACAGTTTTATTGACGTACAAAAATGTGTAGAATAAATCACCACTAACAAGAGTAGAGAAATCTACTATGGTAATTGTCTACTGTGAGAAAACTCGCTGAAATAGTCACAAAAACCACGTAGAGACAAAGTACAACAGCAAACTCCAGAAAGAATGAAGAACAGTGAACTTGGGAAATGATGAATACTCAGTGTAACAGTTTCCAATTAATGCACTGTAAATTGAACAAATTATTTTTCAATGAATGCATATTAGTAAAACACTGGATTTTTTTCAATGGTGGAAAGTGAAGGACTTGGAGAGAATTCTTTAGGCAAAAAAATGAAGGTCCTTGAATTTATTTTGGAACAGTCCAATAACATACTCAATTCTGCATTAATTACTACTGTCCAGGTTTTGGAAAAATATTCATAGCCATTTTTTTCTGTAATGGCTTGTAAAACTATAATCAATAATAATATGGCTGGAGATACTGTTATAAATATACATACTGTTTACTCTAATAAAATGAAATATTTCTGACTAGTATAAAAGAGCATTTCTGACTAGTATAATGGTGCTTAAATGGCTTCTACATTTTTGCTGTGCTTGAGTGGCTTTGAAGAGCTTATGTTGGTAGTAGCGAAGAAGAACTTAAAAATTTTAGAGGGTGGAAATCTTAACATTCAAGAATCAACTTAAAAATAGCACTACATCCTTTGCAAGAGTTTGTTTACTAGTTGTGCAAAGATGTTGATGCAGTATACCTAGCTGCTTTTGCAGTAGGCTTCAGTGCTTAAATGGCTTTGAAGAAAAACTTGGCCTCAACTATGAAAAAACTGATAAAATCTCTTCTTCTCTCTCTCAAGAATCAACATAAAAATAGCCCTACATCCTTTGCAAGAGTTTGTTTACTAGTTGTGCAAAGATGTTGGTGCAGTATACCTAGCTGCTTTTGCAGTAGGCTTCAGTGCTTAAATGGCTTTGAAGAAAAACTTGACCTGCAACTATGAAAAAAAACTGATAAAATCTCTTCTTCTTCTCTCAAGAATCAACATAAAAATAGTCCTATGACCTGTGCAGGAGTTTTTTATTAGGTTCTTTCAGGTTTGAATAAAATATTCTTGGCAGTTTTTTTATGTAGGCTTGTGAAACAAGAATAATATGAATAATGATAATAATATGAAAAATGGATGAACTTTGCCTAACAATCAGAAAATGAACCTTTTTTTTCTGTTATCAATATTTT